GCCCATATCCCCCTAAATTTTTCCAATCCAAATGTAATTTAAATGTTGTAAACGTATCTGCATCAAGCTCTTCCTCTGTATTAGTTTTATATAATTTTGAGCTTAAAACCAACTCTTTCACTAGATTCTTTGTATTAAAATATATGAACCTCATTCCAAACATTCACAACCACAGAGACAAAGGAAGTCACTTGAAAATAGCCCCTAAACATGTTTGACCTAATAAGGAACTAGTACAAATCGTCAAATGGCCCCTCAGAGAGAATGGAGAGTGAGAATTGTTTGACTTTGACGAGAAAATCTAACCAACTACGTAGAAATCGAGATGATGAGCTCAAGTGTATCATTAGTGGAGGTGGTGCAGTGGTAGTGTCCTTACCTTAGAGAAAGGAAGGCCAGTGTTCAAGTCCCACTTGATTTAGAGATGTTATAACTTCCTGAGGAAGTGGTGGATATGGGCACAGTTACAACGTTTAAAAGACATTTGGATAAGTACATGAACAGGAAAGTTTTGGAGGGATATGGGCCAGGAGCAGGCAGGTGGGACCAGTTTAGTTTGGGATTATGTTCAGCATGGACTGGTTGGACCAAAGAGTCTGTTTCCGTGCTGTATGATTCTGTTTCTATGCATGAACAGGTTGATTAGGAAACACAAAAAAAACCAGGGGTCTGACCGCAAAAGTCTCTATATCCTACATTAATGCTAAATTCACAAAACTATCCTCTTAGAAGTCACTAAAGTAATGAAGACAGACCACTGTAAAGAGGATGGACATTTGACGTCTTCACAAATAAACAGAGAGTGCTGGAGAAACTCGACAGTTTTGACAGCAGCTGTGAAGAGGAAGCAAGGTTTCCAGGCCAGAGTAACTCTTCATCAGAACTGGTAGCAGGTAAGGAAAAAGTGGTATTTGTGCTGAAAACTTAGTTGGGGAGGATGAAAGGGAGCGGTGAGTGGATAAGTGGAGACAGAAAGAAAGAGAGAGAGAGAGATGAAAGGGGGTAGGTAAACAAGGAGATTATGGATAGCAGGCCAGGATAGAAGAGAAACTGAACACTATCTACAAGTTCGCTGATGACACCACTGTAGTAAGATGGATATCTAACAACAATGAATCATTGGGGATGCAATGGCCTAGCGGTATTATTGCTTGACTATTAATCTAGACACAAAAACAAAGTTGCTGGAAAAGCTCAGCAGGTCTGGCAGCATCTGTGAAGGAGAAAACAGAGTTAACGTTTCGGGTCCAGTGACCCTTCCTCAGAACTGAGAAAGGCAGCCAACATAGTAAAAGACCCATCGCACCCTGGTAACGATCTCCTACAACCTCTTCCATCAGGCAGAAGGTATAGAAGCCTGAACAGGTTCAGGAACAGCTTCTTACCAGCCGTTATCAGACTGTTGAACAGACTCTAGCCCCAAATAATGTAACCTGCAATGTAACCTGTATGCCTCTAAGTCTTTTGATCTGTACATCCTTTGCTTGCTATGATCTGCATGTACTGCTCTCAAACAAAGCTTTTCACGGTATTTCGGTACACGTGACAATAAATCAATCAATTGAATAAAAGATAATAAGAGCTAAGAGTAGGCGAGAAAGGATTAGCTATATTGAAAGTAAGCCATATGATGTAATAACGGGTCTAGGAGTAGGTGAGAATGTGTGACTGTATATTGACAGAGTGGTTAAAAAGATGCGCCTTCATTGCCTAGTCCCTTGAGTATAGGAGTTGGGACGTCATGTTGAGGCTGTACATGTGAGGCCTCTTCTGGAGTACTGTGTCAAGTTCTGGTCGCCAAGTTATAGGAAGGATATTATTAAATTGGAGAGGGTTCAAAAGAGATTTACTAGGAGGTTACCGGGTATGGAAGGTTTGAATTATAAACAAAGGGTGGACAGGTTGGGACTTTTCTCACTGGGTGTTGAGAAGTACCCAACAGAAGTTTGTAAAATCAATGGGAGGGTTTAGATGGGGTTAATGGCTGATGTCTTTTCCCTGTTTTCAATACTGAGGGTCTCATTTTTGAGATGAGAGGAGAGAGATTTTAAAAAAGACATGAGGGGCAATTCTTTTAAACAGAGGGTGGTTGATGTGTGGAATGAACTTCTTGAGGAAGTATGGATTTGGGCACAATAACAGCGTTTAAAAGACATTTGGATAAGTACATGAATAGGAAAGATTTTTAGGGACATGGGCAAGCGCAGGCAGGTGGGATTAGTTTAGTTTGGGATTATGATCGGCATGGATTGGTTGGACTATAAGGTCTGTTTCCCTGCTGTATGACTTGTAAACTCTATGATTGTGCAAAAAGCAACTCTTGTCATTACAGGACTGGTTGTGGGGTGGGTTAGAAACATGGCAGGATGGAATGAGGCTCTAAACTTACTAAACTGGATGTTGAGTCCTTGAGGCTGCAGGGTCCCAAAGTGGAAAATGAAATGTTGTGTCTAGATTTTGCACTGAGCCTCATTGGAGCCCTGCAGATACAGATGTTGGCCAGGGAACAGGGTTGTGTGTTGAAGTGGCAGGGAACTCAGGGTCTTTTTGCGAACAGAACTTAGATGTCCTGCAAAGCGGTCATTTAGTCAGCGTTTCATCTGCCCAGTGTATATAATCATAGTCGTAGAGATATACAGCACAAAAACAGACCTTTTGGTCCAACCTGTCCATGCTGACCAGATATTCTAAATAAATATATTCCCATCTGCCAGCATTTGACCCACGTCCCTCTAACCCCCTCCAATTCACAACCCCATCCAGATGCCTTTTAAATGTTATAATTGTACCAGCCTCCACCACTTCCTCTGACAGCTCATTCCATACACGCACCACCCTCGGCATGAAAAAGTTGCCCCTCAGGTCCCTTTTAAATCTTTCCCCTCGCACCTTACACAGATGCCCTCTAGTTCTGGATTCCCCTATCCTGGGAAAAATACATTGACGATTTAAAAGTTCTAAAAGATTTTCAAAGATTTAAAAGATGAAACTGGATCTAAAAGTTGAAGTTCTAAATTGGAGGAAGGCCAATTTTGACAGTATTAGGCAAGAACTTTCAAAAGATGATTGGGGGCAGATGTTTGAAGGTAAAGGGATGGCTGGAAAGTGCGAAGAATTCAAAAATGAGATAGAGTCCAGAGACAGTATGTCCCTGTTAGGGTGAAGGGCAATGCTGGTAGGTGTAAGGAATGCTGGATGACTAGAGAAATTGAGGTTTTGGTTAAGAATAAGAAGGAAGCAAATGTCAGATATAGACAGCAGAGATCAAGTGAATCTCTAGAAGAATATAAAGGCAGTAGGAGTATATTTAAGAGGGAAATCAGGAGGACAAAAAAAGGGACATGAGATAGCTTTGGAAAATATTGTTAAAGAGAATCCAAAGAGATTCTGCAAATACATTAAGGACAAAAGGATAATCAGGGAGAGAATAGGGCTCCTTAAGATTAGCAAGGCCACCTATGCTTGGAACCGCAGGAGATGGAGACTAAATGAACATTTTACATCAGTGTTTACTGTAGAGAAGGATATGGAAGCTAGAGAATTTGGGGAAATAAATAATGACATCTTGAAAAATGTCCACGTTATAGGGGAGGAGGTACTGGACATCTTAAAATGGATAAAGGTGGATAAATCTGGACCTGATCAGGTGTGCCCTAGAACTCTGTGGGAAATGAGGGAAGTGATTGCTGGGTCCCTTGCTAAGATATTTGTAACATTGATAGCCACAGGTGAGGTGCTGGAGTACTGGAGGGTGGCTAACGTGGTGCCACTGTTTAAGAAAGTCTGTAAGGAAAAGCCAGGGAACTATAGACTGGTGAGCCTGACATCGGTGGTGGGCAAGTTGTTGGAGGGAATCCTGAGGGACAGGATTTATATGTATTTGGAAAGGCAAGGACTGACCAGGGACAGTCAATGTGGCTTTGTGCATGGGAGATCATGTCTCACTAACTTGATTGAGTTTTTTGAAGAATTAACAAAGAGGATTGATGAGGGCAGAGTGGCAGATGAGATCTATATGGACTTAGTAAGGCATTTGACAAGGTTCTGTGTGGTAGACTGTTTAGCAAGGTTAGATCACATGAAATACAGGGAGAACTAGCCATCTGGATGCAGAACTGGCTGGGAAGGTAGAAGACAGAGGGTGGTGGGTGGAGGGTTGCTTTTCAGACTGGAGACCTGTGACCAGCAGTGTGCCAGTGTAGAGGAGAGTCACAGCTGTGGAAAGAAGCACAGGGGACTTTATTGAAATCCCTGCAATCCGTTATTTTCTGAGTAGCAGTAGGAGCAGTCACAAACAGAAAAGTCTCTGATGAAAAGTCATCTACACTCCAAACGTTGGCTCGCTCTCTCTCTCTCTCCATGAATGCTGCCCGACCCGGTGTGATCTCCAGCATTTTGTTGTTTTCTGTTCAGATTCCAGCACCTGCAGTAATTTGCTCCCAAAGAAAATTCACCAGGCGTAAGGACGGGAGCGTGTTTTATAGATTGCTCTCAGCACCTAATTAAACGATGATAAAAGGTGTGAAGACGGGGGTTGGGTGGATGGAGGGGAAGAAATTCCGGAATAGTTGCGGCAGAACTAACAGCGAGTTTCCTAAACATTCACATTCCCCCGCTTAAAAACAAAAATAAAATATCACATCGGTGCATGCTAAAGTACCGAGCTCGGACAGCGTGCTGCACGGCTCTAGAAGTCCAAAGATGTGCACGTTAGGGTGGATTGGCCATGCTAAATTGCCCCATAGTGTCCAGGGAGGTGTAGGTTATGTGGGTTAGACATGGGGCATGTAGGGGTAGGGGGATGGGTCTGGGTGGGATGCTCTTCGGAGGTTCCGTGTTGGGCCGAATGGCCTGTTTCCACACGGTAAGGGGTTCTATGATTCTAAGAAGCGGGATAGAGCAGGTTGCTTTAGTGAACGGAAAACAATTTGGAGGTGAACACCGGCCGCTACAGGAAACTTGCAAACGAAAAGCTGAGGCACACACCCAGGGCTCTCGACTAGAGTCTGAACGGCTCCGGGATCACGATCGACTCATGTTTAGCTCGTATTTTCTTTTTTTCTGCGCAGCCCGGCTTCGTCCTTTCCAACTCTTCTACTTCCCAGGCTTTTTCAGCCGGAGAGAGGAATTGAGGGGCGTAGGTGAACGTGGGTTTGAATGAAGAAGCGGTGGAGGTTGTGAAGATGTCCTGCCGAGGGCAGCCCCAGGACTGGACTCAGGATGTCACCCCCGTCTGCCTCGACTTCTTCGCTGACCCGGTCTGACCGGAGGGCGGTCACAACTTTTGCTGCGCGTGTATCACGGGGAACTGGGAACGGGAGGCGAGAAACTCCTGCCCGGAGTGCAGACGGGAATTCCCGCGGAAGAAGCTCACGGTGAACCGGGCCTTAGCGAATCTGGCGGAGAGGGCGAGAAAACTCAGCCCGGAGTCGAAATTGAGGGACGTGAAGCTCCTGATGTGAGGAGCATCAGGAGGAGGTGAAGCTGCTGTTCTGTGAAACTGACATGAAACTGATCTGTTACATTTGTAGAGATTCGCGCGGACACAAATCTCACAGTTTCATGCCCATCAAAGAAGCGGTGGAAATGTACAAGGTAAAAATAGAGTGGGTTTCACCTTCATATTGCCAGGGTTGGGGGGATTGGGGGGGTGGAAATGGGGTTTGAGCTACAAGGAGGGGCTGAATAGACTGGGGCTATTTTCTCTGCAGCGTCGGAGGCTGAGGGGTGACCTTATAGAGGTTTATAACATCATGGGGGCATGGATAAGGTGAAAAGACAAGGTCTTTTCCCCAGGGTAGGGGAGTACAAAACTAGAGGGGCATAGGTTTAAGGTAAGAGTGGAAAAGGGGCAACTTTTTCATGCAGAATGTGGTGCGTGTGTGGATTGAGCTGCCAGAGGAAGTGGTGGAGGCTGGTACAATTACAACATTTAAAAGAAACCTGGATGGATACATTAATGGGAAGGGTTTAGAGGATATGGACCAAATGCTGGCAAATGGGACAAGATTAATTTAGGATATCTGCTCTGCATGGACGAGTTAGACCAAAGGGTTAGTTTCCGTGCTGTACAGCTCTATGACTCGATGCATCACATTTTTCAGAGTCTAACCCCTTCCTTTTGTGATTTCCTGTCCCTGCACGCAGGAGCAGCTGAAATCTTATTTACAATCTCTGACTGAAGAAAGACCGCTCTTTCTAGACTCAGAAGTGAAGCAGATCCGCCAGATTTCTGAAGTTAAGGTGTGTTAACCCTCCCCACTCCCTTCTGGGTGTCCTACTCCCTCTATCGCGGTACAGTACATGATCTTTGTTCTCCTCCACCTCCCCCCACCCCCCATTTCCTTTGGTAGGAACAGGCGAACTGTCTGCAGTTGCACATCACATCCCAGTTCGCTAAAATGCACCAGGTTCTCGCTGAGAAAAAGCAGCCTTTGCTCAGAGAGCTCAGGAGGGAAGAGGAGAGGATTCTCGACACGATGGGGAAGAACCTTGGAGAGATTCAGGAGAATTTAAATTCAGTCCAGGAGGAGGTTACAAAGATGCAGGAACAGATGGAGCAGTGAGATGGAGTGACATTTCTGAAGGTAAATGGGATCGTTTTTAAATATTCACTCCTGGGTTGTAGGTGTCACTGGCCGGGCCCTGCATTTGTTGCCCATCCCTAGTTGCCCCTTGAAAAGGTGGTGGTGAGCTGCCTTCTTGAACCGCTGCAGCCCATGTGCTCTAGGGAGGGACTTTCAAAATCCTGCTGGTGAGCTGCAAAATGGTGAGAAATTGGGGAATAAAGCTGAGAAAGAAAATCGAAATCAATGTAAATTAAATCTTTCCTACGTTCTGCTTGTTTGCAGACATGCACTGCCACAGCATTAATATTTAGTAAACGATTATTGCACTGAGGAAGGGTCACCGGACCCGAAATGTTAACTCTGTTTTCTCCTCCACAGATGCTGCCAAACCTGCTCAGCTTTTCCAGCAACTTTGTTTTTGTTCCTGATTATTGCACTTCATTAGTTATTAAGATATTTCTGAAAACTCTCCATTACTGCATTGTGTGCAGGGGGAGGGTGCAATGGGTTTGAGATTTTGGCTTTCAAATACCTGGCAATACAAAATTAAGGCATTAGGTTCACTTGCCTTTATTAGTCAGTGCACTGAGTATAGGAGTTGGGAGCTCATGTTGTGGCTGTATAGGACATTGGTGAGGCCATTTTTGCAATACTGTGTTCATTTCTGGTCTCCCTGCTATAGGAAAGATATTGTGAAACTGGAAAGAATTCAGAAAAGATTTACAAGGATGTTGCCAGGGTTGGAGGGTTTGAGCTGTAGGGAGAGGCTGAATAGGCTGGGGCTATTTTCCCTGGAACATCGGAGGCTGAGGGGGTGACCTTATAGAGGTTTATAAAATCATGAGGGGCATAGATAGGGTGGATAGTCTTTTCCCCAGGGTAGGGGAGTCCAAAACTAGAGGGCATAAGTTTAAGGTGAGAGGGGATAGAATTAAAAGGGACTTGAGGGGTAACTTTTTCATGCTGAGGGTGGTGCGTGTATGGAACAAGCTGCCAGAGGAAGTGGTGGAGGCTGGTACATTACAACATTTAAAAGACATCTGGATGGGTATATGAATAGGAGGGTTTAGAGGGATATGGGCCAAATGCTGGCAAATGGGACTAGATTAATTTAGGATATCTGGTCAGCATGGACAAGTTGAAACGAAGGGACTGTTTCCATGCTGTACATTTCCATGAATCTATAACTGCACCCCCTTCCTAGCAAGCTGTTCTCCTGCCTCCTGGAGTCTGTGCTTCCCCAGGATAATGCTGCTTCCTGTCTGAGGGGCTGGGGATTTGAAACCACCCCTCCCCACATCATATACGATCATAACCTATCCCACGAAGTTGCCCCTATGATACTGAGATAGTAGGAACTGCAGATGCTGGAGAATCTGAGATAACAAGGTGTAGAGCTGGATGAACACAGCAGGCCAAGCAGCATCAGAGGAGCAGGAAGACTGACGTTTCGGGCCTAGACCCTTCTTCAGAAAGCCCTCCTTCAGCTGCCCCTATGATACTGCAGCCTTGGCTCCAGCTCTCCATGAAGTCGGAGTACTGTGTACAATTCTGGTCACTGTTGTGTAGAATGAATGTTATTAAACTGGAAACGGTATGGAAAAGATTTGCAAGGATGTTACCGAAACTGGAGGGAGGGGTGATCTTATGAAATCATGAGGGGCCCATGGATAGGGTGAACAGTCGAGGTCTTTTCCCCCAGGGTAGGGGAGTCCAAAACTAGTGGGGCATAGGTTTAAGGTGAGACGGGAAAGATTTAAAAGGGGCCTGAGAGGTAACCTTTTCATGCTGAGGGTGGTGCAGGTATGGAACAAGCTGCCAGAAGAGGTGATAGAGGCGAATTCAGTTACAACATTTAAAAGACATTGGGGCAGGTATATATCCATGAGCAGGAAGGATTTAGAGGGATATGGGCAAATGGGGCGAGTTCAGTTTCGGAAATCTGGTTGGTATGGACATGTTGGGCCGAAGGGCCTGTTTCCATGCTGTTACAACTCTATGATAACTCACATTTTGTCTTTGGTTCCTTTCAAGAGGAATGGTGTGGGAAGAGGAGGTAGGCCCCTGAACTTCTCCAACATGTTTGTACCATAACCCAGTGAGGTTTTTATGGTCCATTTCTAACAGGGACTCTATTTATATTGACAGGACGAGTGACGACTACAAGGAAGTGCCACTGGCAGAAGAGAAGCTCTCCCTGGGACAGTTCAATGGTCCTTTGCAGTACACAGCTTGGAGAGGAATGTTAGACACCATTAAGCCTGGTAAATCTCAAACATATTTTGTATTTTTTTTTCCACAATGTGAAGGTCCTAAACTGACATTGATACCCGCGTTTAAGCTGAATCTGAAGTTACAGTCTTCCAATGTAACAGTTGCCTTCAGAAGCACTGCAAACCAGCTTCATTACATTGATAACCACAACAACTTAAATTTACATAATGCATTTAGGGTAAGGGATGCCTCAAACCTAATAAAGTATTTGTTCATGTTTTTCCTTCATTGATGAACTCTCCAGCAGCTGACAGATGTTTTAGGTCCAGATAAATGATCATTTCCAAACAGATGACCTTCTTTACCCTTTTCACTGAAGAGGTTGTATCGTGTGGATTTCAATTTACACCCTGTATATGAGCAAAGCTAGAACATTTCCGTTCCTCTGAACCTCAGCAGCTGCCCTGTATTTGAACAGATTAGAAAATGATGGCCAGCACCCTCCGCAATTTCTAAGTTGACTTTCCTCAGCGTTCTTTTGATGACTAACATTTCTGTTACTTCCTTATTGTTAACGAATGGCCCATTCAGTATCTCGGCTGTCTCCTTTCTCACTATGACTTTGGCAGCATCTTCTCCCTTCTGAAAGACAGATGTGAAGCATTTATTTAGCAAATGAGCCATATCTTCTACATCCATGATCACGTCTGCTTTTTATTCTTAATTGGCTTTATCATTTAGTGATGTGTATAGGCTGGTGAAAGAGACCTGGATTCAAGTCCCATCTACTCCTAAGGTGTTTCAGAAAAGATTGATCTAAATAAGATGTTTTAAGGAAAAGGTTGTTAGGAAATAAATACAGTATGGTTTAGTCAATGTCTTTTGACTTTTCTCTTGTTTTCATAGTCCCTCTGGTGTTTTTTCACCTCTGCACCATGCCTGTGAACATTTTGCATCTAGCCTAGATCTCACCTGTTCTATCAAACCCGAGAGTATGTCATCTACTCCCCTCTCCTGCTTGACCTTCTGCCTACTCTGAGGCTTTCAAGACGGTCATTTGGATAAAGATAATGTGCAAGGGTATTGGCAGCAAGCAGGAGATTGGCACAAGGTAGTGATGCCCATTTAATGAGACAGTGCAGGCATGGCTGGCCAAATGGCCTCCTTCTGCATTGTGATTCCATCCCTTTCATCTCTGGAGGGGCCTCTGACATTGGCCCCAGTTTCCAAGCTACACTTTCATGGCCTCCATGCCAACCTCTAGTGGAGTTCCAAAGGTCAGCAAGTTGAGAGTTGGCGAGCATAGGGCGCGGGAGAATTTCCGACCGGGATTTGGGTTCTCAGGACTGAAGGGTGAAAACGTTCATGCTGAATAAATGATAGAACCAGAGCAACTTACTGACTGTTGTTTTAACGTGCCTCCCTCCTCAGTTCCAGCCTCTCTCACTCTGGATCCGAACACAGCAAATCGTTGGCTCGTTGTGTCTCAGGATGGGACCAGTGTGAGACTCGGTGGGAAGCCTCAGCGTCTGCCTGTGCGTGCTGGCATCCCAAGGGTTCGCATCTGGGATCCACTACTGGGAGGTGGAGGTGGGGGACAAGACGTGGTGGGAGACGGAGGGGGGGTGGCTCAAATGTCGGCCGAACGGAAGGCGACTATACACCCAAGGCGTCAGACGGGATAATTGGACCATGTACCTTCTGCCCAGCAGTGGCTATTGTCACCCTCACCGCGCCCCCCACCGTGCGACCACCCACAAGATCAGGGTCTACCTGGATTACGAGGAGGGGCAGGTGTCATTTTACAACCACGTCCCACCTGCACACTTTCACCCACACTTTCAACGAGACACTCTACCCCCTTCTTCTGCCCAGGTCCCGACGACGGTGGGAAAAACGCGGCGCCCTTGTCGATCTGCAGGCACCCGGCTCACGAAGGGATCCATTCCCATGATCTGCCGCCCCCCACCCCGGAGCCCCTGCCTCACAACAGTGAGGCAAAGTGTCGGGAGTTGGAATCAGTGGGGATGGTCCTGAGGTCAGTCCAGGGGCGGTCTCTGTGTGATGGGTCGGTGCACTGAAACAGATACATGATAACTGCCCAGGGACTGCTGTAGAAGTATTGCTGTTACTTTGAACAAAGGGGCTTTGAGAATACCAAGAATCATCTGGATGCACAGGGTCAAGCCACCTTTTTACAAGGGACACTCTGACAAAACAGAGGGGTTTGGCATTTGGGGTGGGGGGGGGTGTGTGGAAACATGAAAAACCAGTGAGAAACACAGAACGAAAGGGAAACATCTGAGACGCTGCAAAGTTTTTCACAGATCTGCACTTAGAGAAGGTCGTCGTGGAGGTGAGAAAAGCCCAGGAGGATCCCAGCACGGAAAGGAGGATTTGATGTGATTTATTATTGCGTACAGAGGTACAGTGTAAAGTGTTGGCTCATGCACTATACAGGGCAGATGGTACTATACACGTGCATGAGGGTGACAGGGCAGAGTGCAGGGTTCAGTGTGGCAGCTGCTGAGAAGGGGCAGGGAGAGGTCAACGTAAATATTAAAGAAGTCCATGCAAAACAGCAGGGAAGAAGCTGTTCTTGAATCTGGTCATACGTGCGTACAAACTTCCACCTGATGGAAGAGGGCGGGAAGAGAGTGTAGCTGGGTGGGGAGGGGTCTTTGCTTGTGTCAGTTGCTTTCCTGACACAGCGGGAAGTGCAGACGGAGTCTGTTTCTGATGCAAACAGGCCATGTGGAGGAAACCAAGCTGAGCAACCGTCCTGTGGCTGACAACAGCATGTCAGAGGCTGGCAATTCTACAGCAAGCAATTCCCCAAAGCCTGTCCATCACCTACCGGGCACAAGTCAGGAGTGTGATGGATGGGTGCAGACCTTCATGACATTCAAAAGCTCAACAACGTGCACCACGTTCAACATGCATCACGGTGCCAGCAGTCTGTAAAAGTTTGGTAATCGAGAACTTGAGTATTGCTGGGCAATTAGGGATGGACAATCAATGCTGGCTTAGCCTATGATGCCCTCATCCTATGAATGAATAATTAAAAAAAAACCTCTCCTAGGGTCAACAGGGCTATTTCTGCCATTCCCTTTTCCAGTGTCTTGGTCAATGCCAGGTGGTCCATGTGGTTCCATTTGTCTCACACTTTGTAGCAATTGATACAACTGAATGGCTTGCTGAGCTATTTCAGAGGGCAGCTAGGAATCAACCACATTGCTGTGGGTCTGGAGCCACACGTAGGCCAGACCAGGGGAAGATGGCAGATTTCCTTCTTGAAAGGGCATTAGTGAACTAAATAATAACGATTTCGTGGTCATCTACAAGATGCACTGTAGAAATTCACCAAGGCTCCTTTGACAGCACCTTCCAAATGTACAACCTCTATGATCTAGTGGATAAAGGTAGCAGATACACGGGAACCTGTAAGTTCTTCTCAAAGCTCCTCGCCATCCTGACTTGGAAGTATATCACTGTTCCTTCACCGTCTCTGGGTCAAATCCAGGAACTCTCTCCCGAACAGCATTGTGGGTCTACCTAGAGTAAATGGACTGCAGCGATCAAGATGACAGCTCACCACCATCTTCACAAGGTCAAATGGGGTTAGGATAGGAAATAATACTGGCCCAGCCAGCAACATCCATTTATCCCATGAATAACTGAAAAGGAAGTTCAGAAAGGGCAGGAGAAAGATATCATGCAAAGCTCCAGCCACAGAAAGCTGGGGAAGAGGAGTTCAAGGCACTCATGTTAAAAAATAAGTAAGCTTTGTTAGCAGTTTGTCTAAGGGTCTTGTGGAGAGACATGAACGAAAGAAGTTAGCATCAAATGAATGGTAAAGTTTGCCAGAAAGTAACCATGTAGAGCTGTTGCAATGAACAAGGAACTTTGAAATGGAAAGAGGATTTGAATATTTGGTTTTTGTTAAAGCTAAACAAGTTGAACCTTTATTGCTGATGTATGTAATAATGTTTCAAATCATTCTTACATCGTATACAATAGTTTGCTTCATTTTCTTTTGTGTACAATAAACTCTGGTGTCCTCTTGTTAAAAGTACATTGATGCCTCTTGTGAATATCTTCAGTGACAGGCCACCCACTATTGTGACCAAACTGAAACAATAAAGATCCTGGTCCATCAAGGGAGAGATTTCATTCTGGGGTGTGACTCCTCACCGAGTTAGTATTGGCTGAGATCATATCAAACCAGTTCTCACTATTTAATCCTTTTAACCCAAGTATCATTTTGGGAAAAATACATTGTCCTCCCTCCCAGTTGAACTGATTCTTCCTGAAATGTAAAGCTGAATGCACAGCTCTGGGCATAAGCTAAACACAACTTCATACAACTTGTGCATTATTCCCACTGCATTATATTCCAGTCTCCTCCAGGTAAATGCAGGGGGTAAGGAATGTTATGTCAATACAACATCATTAGCATTAATATTATTTTATCTTCCATTGGTTTTCATGGCAACAGAGCTGGTGAAGAAGGAGGGCACAGACAATCTGTGCCACCTCTGTGCTATGACCAAGGATTTCCGCCAACTCTAGCATGATCCTGGCTCCCCATTCCTTGGATGCCAACCAAGTCAGCTCCGAACCCAAACCCCAAATCCCTCAGTATGCCTGACGATGTTCCATCCCTAATCTATTTACACTAGCAAAGTTCCCCTCCAAGCCACTCACCATCCTGAATTGGAAAAATATCCTTCAGTGTAGCTTGGTCAAAATCCTAGAAGTCACTCCCTCAGATATAACTTTATTATTGAGATTATTTCTTCCTCAGCCCACTAAACTTTGGATTATTAAGAAGATTTCTCCTGCTCCCTGCTCTAAACCTTATATTAATTTCTAACCTATTTCCTGCTCATTCTTGACTGCTTACACCTCTGAGCATTCTGCTTCTTCCTACTCTGTCCTATCCTTTTATCATGTTAAGCCTTTCTATCAGGGACCATGGTATAGCAGCAACGTCAGAACTGCTTGAAAAAGAAGAAAGCTTGGGAATGTCATATTCGTTGCATGCTAAACGCATGGAAAGAACGATACTAAACCCTGACCCTCCCTGCAGCAAGGAGCACCATGAGAGGTCACGATAAGCAACATTATGTGGCTCAGTGGTTAGCACTGCTGCCTCACAGTGCCAGGGACCCAGGTTCAATTCCACCCTCAAGCGACCGTCTGTGTGGAGTTTGCATGTTCTCCCCTGTGTCTGCTTGGGTTTCCTCCCACAATCCAAAGATGTGCAGGCTAGGTGGATTGGCCATGCTAAGTTGCCCATAGTGTTCGGGGATCTGTAGATTAGACGTGTTAGCCATGGGAAATGCAGGGTTAGAGGGAAAGGGATGGGGGGATGGGTCTGGGTGGGATGGTCTTCAGAGGGTCGGTGTGTGCCAAGGGGCCTGTCCCCACACTGTGGGGATTCTATGTTCTGTGTATTAACTCTGCTCCTCTCACCACAGACACTGCCAGTGTACTTCCAGCACTTTCTGCCCTGATTTTAGATGTCCAGCAGCCACAGTATTTCATTTGCAGACTAAAATTGGCAGAAGTACTGGGAAGGGATGAATTGAATAGCTCTATCAAAGGATCATGACAAAAAAATAATGAGATGCATACACTTCTCTTGTACTCTGTCATTCTAGGATTCTGTGTTCCACTACTTGATTAATGGGAGCAATATTTTCTCACACCACTGTCCAAACCAGACAATGGTCTGCTCAGTTATCCTGTGCCTTTTCACCAGTCTGTAACACAGGGCATAATTTCAGAAAATGTCACCTTTCAGCTTCCTTGCTTAATCTTGTAAATCACAACCAGGTCGTACTGGGGTCTAATAGGTATTTGCTGGTTCGTTGTCAATATTCTTTATCCCAGAGAAATACAGGGATGACATTAAGTTCCTCGTTTTTCAACAGTTTGATTACGAAAGATTTGAAATGGTCCTGTGGCATGTCTGCACTTTACTCTCGCTCTGAGCAGTTTTTCCTCTGTCTGTTTATTTTGCTCAGGATCCATGCCCAGGCTTATCCATCTTCTATCCGCCTCCCCCTCTCTCCCTATTTATTTCAGAACCCCCTTCCCCTCCCCCATTTCTGATGAAGGGTCTAGGCCCGAAACGTCAGCCTCTCTGCTCCTATGATGCTGCTTGGCCTGCTGTGTTCATCCAGCCCTGCACCTTGTTGTCTCGGATTCTCCAGCGTCGGCAGTTCCTACCATCTCCCAAATAGACACTGGTTCTGTTGTTGTATTTCTGCCCAAGTGTTAATGCTGTATACCTCTGTGCAATCCAACGTCCCGGCCATGTTGTCCTACACCCCACCTCCCAGGAGTGTCGACCTGCTACGAATGTCTGTGACCCCAGCACATAGGCACAGCAATCAAAGCTCCTGCTGTTTGATTTTGCCCCAGTCTTATACTGAGCCGGTCCTCACACACCAGGAGCAGGGGATTCTCTGTGTTCAGAACCAGGGTTAGAGAGATGGAGCTGCCGTTGGTGAAAATGACACTGTCATTGATTTCAATTAAT